AAAAAAAAAAAAAAAAAAAAGTTCCAGAGATATTCTTCTACACATTAAGAGATTTCATTTAAATGAAACTATAGAGAGACCTATATGGAAAAAAATATTTAGTTATGTCTGACTTGGGTTGTTTTCAAGACAATTTCAAAATACTTAACACTATAACAATCACAAAACATTACAGTAACTTGCATTTAATGCAATATGGAAATGATGGTGTAAGAATGAACTTCAGTCTCTGATGGGTGCATATTGGAAAGGTTTTTAAAAAATGGACAATCTTGTGCTTTTTTGTATCTCTTTGTATAAACAGATCTTGTTTCCTTGCTTGTCATTATTTGACACTTAACTGAATCAGCCAACTTTATGGTTGAAAGAACCAACAAATAATTCCTACTGGAACTGTCATTTGTATCCTTTCCATTGACTGAGAAACCAGAGATCATGATTAGTGCGTAAGATCCATTTTTTCTTATTTTGGGTCTGCTAGTTAATGGACACTACATCATGACAGTGTTATGGCCATTGTGGGGTGGGGAGCACACCTACTATTATAGGGAAATTGCCTAACTGTTCTGATATAGAACTTACTTAAAATGTGTATTTCCCATTGATGTTAAATGTTTCTGATGGAGCAGAAATTTCACTTTAGGGTAAGTAACTTGGTGCAACAGGAATCCTGCATGGAGTTCTGAGTGGTTGCTCTTAAAAAGTTGTAAACCAAAGTACCTTTCCACATAAGGTGCTTGTCTGAGCAAAGTGTTTAAAAATTATACTGCTTTCAATATTGCTTAGTGCCCCTAACATGTCTGGTGTGCCTTATGCCTTACTTTTAGATGAAGATTTTATGAACTGTTTACAAGATGTTTTACAGCAGGACCAGGTATACTGTATGCAGTTGGAATTCTGCAGTACTTTGGTGAAATTCCATTTCCTTTGTATTAACAGTACAAGCATCTGTCATACCAAATGACCTCCTATTACAGTGGTTTTCTTTCAGAGAGTCAAACTCTGAATTTACGAGAGTGGAATTGGAGAGTCTTGCTTCATTTTATCTCCCATTAAACCTTGTATCTGGTACAGAATAATGCATCTATGTTCAGGAAAAATATTGCACTAAATTTGTGTGTAGTTGTAGACTGCCATCATTTTGGCACATTTCGAAAGAAGGAATAGAATTCTACACTGTTTAGTACTGCAGTATGTCCTATGGGCTTTAAGAGTTTAGAAGTTTTGCAAATTAGTAACTTTACTAAACTGTAGCTGCATATTCGTAGAGCTTCCTTTGTTCTCCAACTTGTTTTGTACTTCCAGAAAAGCTTTGCTACGTACAAATTGAGACATAATTAACAGACCTGTAAATTTCCCTATTAATATTTCAGCGTATGTTTAGGTCTGTTTCAGCATCCTTTTTTATTTGAATCACTGTGCCAGCTTGTGGTTTTTTTTTTCCAGTGTTTGCTGTTACAAAAAATTCTCTACCCTCAAACTCTGCATCTTAGTTAATGGGATACTGTCAACTATTTTTCCCTTAATACTCTAAAGTGCCTAGCACACTTTTGACGCTATATAAGAATACCTTCTTAGAAGCTGGATTAACGGTTTATTTTTGAAGTAGCGCTGCAGTAGCCAGCACGGCTGTGTTTTAAGCTTGCTCCTTTGTACGCAGTTACCATTATTGTAAGCAGTAATGGTCTCATCTCTGGGAATATTTGTGTGTTTTGTTTTTAAGCTAGAGTCCCACAAATACCATTTGGTATCACACTAAATGAATTTCTTCTTGAAAAATACATTGTTAATCTTAAACTCTTGGACGCTAAACATTATTAGTCTTTAAAAAAATACAGAAGACTTTTTACAGTGTGTCAAAATGTGGACATGAACTGGTGGATAGTGTCCCACCCAAGCAGTATGTTTTTTCTGGTGAAATTCCTTCTGGATTATTGTCCCAAGTTCGCTCTCTGTGTTGGAGATATGCAACGGTTTTGTTTAACAAAAGGATATTGTCTTGCTCATCTGTAGCAGTGTCAAACAGATCAATTTAATTTGACAATTCTGCATGCTTCTCTAAATTGGGATTTGCCCCTTGCTTCAGTGACAAGTTCATTTTATTGGCTTCAGTAGCCAAACAATGCAAATACTTCATAAGCTTCCATCCCTCTGCCAAAATCCAGGCTAACAAAACCTGTCCTTCTGAACCACTTACTTAAACAGCGATGTGGGAAATGCATGTCACTTAACCACTAATGCAGGTTGCACTAGTGTCTTATCACAAGGGAATCCTTAAATTCTGGTTCTCTCCATGATTTTCTATATGGTGGCATATTAATACATATCAGTATTGTAGATTGAATTTATAACTCCCAACTCCCAGTGGTGAACCTTATAAATGGCTTAATCAGACTAGGCTTGCTCAGACGTCAAAATTATCTTGAATTTGCTGTCGAACTTGCAGGTTCCTAAATGACAAAGTGCATCACTTATAGTTACAAATGAACCTTCAAGAAATCAGAGCAAAATAGCCCAAGACTTTTATTTTCTTTTAAATCTGTTAGCCATAACTCAGAGCACATAGATTGCTCTTCTTGGCTTTTGATGGCAGTATGCAATTTGTATTGTGTGAGTCTTTAATACATATACATGTGTGTGCTTGTGTGCGTGTGGGAGGGGTGTGTGTGTGTGTATATATCTATATAAAGATATATATATGAACTCAGTCTGTCCAAAGTGTATGTTATACTTGTTTTTAGATTATAGTGCAACTGGCTATATTGATATATTATTTATTGAGTGCTGAATCACCATCTTGCTGGTGATGAATCTTGCATATTATACAGGAGTGCAATGTATATTACTTTAGATTTGATGAGGCTTGATTGCTGTGATTTAAAAATAACCACCCTAAAATATACTTATGAATGGCCCCAGCACACAGTCAGGACTTTATGAATATAATTTAATACTTGCCTGGGGCAAGTAAAATAAAGCTGTAGGCAAGTAATTATAAAGTTTGCCAATCTGGCAACTAGTGGAAAGAGACTACCTTTGCTGTATTTAATAATAATAATTAATTTACCTAACCGAAATTAATCATCATTGCAGCCTTCACGTAAAGGCAGTTACAAAAGGGCCTGAGCAAGTCAAGTTTGAATTATGCATTGGGGAATAAGCAACTTCCAAATTATCAGTAAGAGCCTTAACAAATATTTGGGTCAAGGTTGGAATCACAGTCTAGTTGAATCAGTGTTATGGAAAGCTGTATATTTCCAGCAACAAAATTGATGCTAGATCTCTTTTAAACAAGAGTAGCCAAAGCTTTTGCTAGCCAACTCTTAGACAAATGCAGACCTATTTCCAGAGACCAAGTTCCCGGAGATGGGTTTACATAAACATAAAGAATCATGTCCAATTCCACTTTTTGTTGTTTTGTTTTTTTTTAAAGAAATTTGGTCTGTGTTGCCATTTAACAATAGCAGTGTTGGGAGGGGGAGCTATAACATAAATAAAGATTCTTATCTCAGTATGGGTGTACTAGACGAATGAGCCTGGCCATTTGGTAGGACAGCTTTTGAGACAGCATTACCTCTTGCTTGTTGCCAGTGTTCATCTGAACTTAAACTGAATGCACTATACTGAGTAGCTTGAAGTGCTGTTTCAGCATAATTTATATAGGCTATCCCCATGTAAACATTTTACCTGTTTTAATTTTGTCTGGAAATGTAATGGAAGTGCAGCCATTCCAATTGGTGCAACTCTGTGTGCTAGCAGAGCTGATATTTGTAAATTGGAGTGCAATGTGCCCTGTCTTCAGTTTTTATACGCAACCCTAGTCAATCATGTAGCTGAGTGCATGGTAGTACTGCAGCCCAATTTCTTGGCTGCATTGGCATCATACATCTGAAAATTTAACTTCAAGGACCAGACATGACTTTTGCAAGCACAGTTACTGACATTTGTATCTGGTCCCCCTTTTAAATGGTTTTAAGAAATTTTGTATATGGAGGATAAAGTGCTTATATATTTATTAAAAATCCTTTATCTTATTTGAAATTATTATTATTTGGTGAAGAAGGGTTTTTTTTTTCTTTTTGGGGAGGGGGGGGAAAGTAACTTTTAATCCATCACTTATAAATGAAGCCCTTACTAATCATACAGAAAGGTACTGTTAATGACTGATGGGATGTCTCTATTTTACGCTTTGTACATGACAAGTCCATGTCTTATGTTTTGTTTCTATCAAAATATTTAGGCATCTGTCTTCAACCAAAACTTAAAAAAAAAATACTGTGATTTTATTTGTTGCAATACAGATGAAATTTTGAAGGGTACTTTGGGGCTCAAAATTAGAATTTCTAAGTCAGTATGTGCATTTCACGTAATAAAGCTATTAATGGTGAGCAAAGTATTATATACTAACTAGATTTTTCCACATCTGTATAGTATATTCTATGTATTTTGTGGTATTGAGATTATAGAAAGTTTAGTGTCTGAAACATGCGTTTAATGTGTATTTTTAAACAAATTTATGGCAATTAAAATATTTGGAGAAAAGGGTATCACATTTCAATTTGTAAAGAACTTTTTAACTACTGTGTCATTAAAATGCTTTGTACAATGCAAAACTGTAACTGGAGAAACTAAGTTTAATAAAATATCAAATAGATTTTTCTGTATTAAACTTTACAAACACCGTGCTTGCATCTTCTGTATGGCTTCCTCCTCAGTGGAATTACATTGCTAAACTCGACAGTTTTATCTTGGGTTTGCATATTCTAGCAGTATATTCATTGATCTACACCCCTTCCCTCCTCTCTCTGCTCACCACAACAGACTTACCAGCTGGAGGCAGCTGTGTCCTGC